GGGAGGGGAGGGGAAAAAATTGAAAACCAGGAATCCAACAGACACAACTCTGAAATCCAGCCCTGCTCCTGGCCAGCTTACAAGTTTGGGCCTCAATTACACCTGGAAAATGGGAACACAAATGCTTCCCATTCCTGCCCCCAAGGCTGTTGTGAAGGTCAAATGGGACCATGAGCTGAGGGATCTGCACTCTGTTTCTCTCTTTTTGTCGTTTTACTACGCCACTCTCCCCCTGACCCAGGCCACACAGGGCTGCTTACCGCCTTTCCCCTAACACAAAGCAACCACTGCCAGAGAGCCTGTGCCAGCAGAGCCATGGGTGTAGCTCGGGATGGCCACGCACAACGGCAAGGCCAGAGAGAAGGTTTCTGCTCTCCCGGCCTCCCCTTGCCTCCTTTACACTGTCTTCCCACAAACGGACTCTTTTAAGACCCAGTTCTGACCAAGCCAGTCCTTGCCTAAAACAGCTTACAACCTAGGCTCCTTGGCTACCCACAGGGCTAAGCCTCCCCTCCTTTCTGGAATTTCCTACCCAACCCCAAGCTCTGCCTATTAAAATATTTTTCAACCCTCAAACTTTAGACTAAATGTCTACCTCTTCCAGGAAGTCCCCCTGCCTGCCCCCCATCAGAGGGGGGCATTGCTGCTTCAGCTTACTCAGCATTTGATTTCTGATCTTCTAACCCAATAAACGTTCTTCACGTCTATCCCCTAAACCAGCAGTTCTCAGAAGATCCCTTTACACTCTTAAAACTCCAAAGAACTTTTTTTTTAGAGAGAGAGAGGAAGGGGGAGAGAGAGATTTGCTGTTCCACTTATTTATGCATTTATTGGTTGTCTCTTATATTGCCTGGCCAGGGATGGAACCCACAACCTTGGTGTATTGGGGAGATGCTCTAACCAACTGAGCTACCCAGCCAGGGCCCAAAGAACTTCTGTTTATATAGGTTATATCTATCAATATTTACCATATTAAAATTAAAACTGAAAGGAATTTAAATATTTTCTTATTGATTTTTAAATAATAATTTTTAAAATAACAGGAAATCTGGCCCTGGCTGGATAACTCAGTTAGTTCGAGCTCAATACATCAAGGTTGTGGGTTTGATCCCCAGGCAGGGCACATACAAGAAGCAACCAATGATACATAAATAAGTGGAACAAGTCGATGTTTCTCTCACTCTCTCCCTTCCTCTCTAAAATCAATCGAAAAATAATAGTAAACCCTTTATATGCTAAGATAAATAACATTTGCTGTTTTTTTCAAAAGCTACATTTTCCAAATAAAAAAGAAATTAGTAAGAAGAGTAGCACTGTTTTACATTTTTGCAAGTCTCATGAGTGCTTGGCTTGCTAGAAGACAGCTAGATTCTCGTCTTCTGTATGGAACGTGTCTCAAAGGCACACATTGCTCAGCTTCTGCAAAACTGAAAGTGAAAATAGTGTCACTGTTACTATAGAAATACTTTTGACCTGGGAAATCCTCAATGAGGTCCACATCTGAGGGCTTGCCCCCTAGACAAAAGCAGCCCAAGGTCCCACAGAGGGTGAATGGAGTAGAACTTGGGGGTTGGGGCTGCCTTAGGGTCACAGAATCTGTCTTCCTTGTTCCTTTTACCCTCATTAGTTCCCCCACTTTGTTCCTCTGTGCCTCCCTCCGGAGTCGGGTGAAAGAGGGGTGTCAGAAAACGTGCGCTTTGGATTTGCCGAGTCCAGCATTCGACACTTGTCTCTGTATCTTACCAGATGCGTGAACTGGGGAAGGGAAGGGAAGTTCCCCAACCTCTCAGAGCCGGTGCCGTCACTGAGAAATGGTGCTGCCTTGTAGTGACGAAAAGGGAACCTGCGGGG